GCAGGCTCTGGGGAAGCTTCGTGTTTCCTGCAGCCTTGGCCGTGCCCTGCCTGGTCTGCCTCAGCAGCAGGTGAGCAGGACTATCTGGAGCAGAGCTGGCACAGACAGGGCAGCAGGTTCCTAGCCCAAAATGGAAGGGCTTTGGGCCAAAACCAAAGTGAGAAGGTGCAAATTCCTTCCCTCCTTCCCCATCAAACAGCCAATCGCGCAGCACCCTGTGAACGCTGGATCAGAGAGAGGTTCACCCCACTTGTCCCCAGCCCAAGTGCTTGTCACAGCCACCCCAATGCCAGTGGTCCCTTGTCTGTGCCAGCTCAAGGGTGTACAATGGGAAATGACCCAGTGTAAAGACAAAGGGTGTTGTGAAGGCAGCGAGGTGCTGGGGATCAGGGATTGCAGAGGGACATGGGTGCATAGCGAGGTGGGTGCCTGGGACACACCAGGGTGCTCAGGGTGAGGAAGAGGAGGCAGGACACGGGACAGGAGAGGGGTCACCCACACTCCCCCTTCCCCACGCTGCAGGAGCTGGGGCCAGCACCTGGGGGAGTGCAGCCACTCCTCCGCCTGCGCTCGCCACGGCAGCCCTCGCAGAGCCCCCCCCGCACCACCGCGCAGGCCCTGGTTTCAATCATCCCTCGATTACACGCTGTTTGCTCTTGTTGACAGCACATTTACTTGCACTTGTCAAGCACACTGTAAATAGTGAGAGAAACAGCTCTGCCCTTCCTGACCAGAGGAACAACCAGGAAGGGGCCGGCCAGTCCCTCCTGGCCGCACACCCGCCGGCGGCTCATTCCCAGCACTGGAGCCAGCACTGCCAGGAAGGGCCGGGGCGCAGGATCAGTCCACGCCTGCTCGCACCATCAGCAGCCATGGGAGAGAGATGGGCAGCCAGGCTTTGAAAAGTGCTGAGGATCCACCACCTCCCATGGGAAACAAGGGAAGCGCCCGTCCTGGACTCCCACGGCCCAAAGTCCACAGCACAAAGCGTCCGTAATTATTTAGTTTAGGGATAATCTATATCTTTGAGATAGAGCCAGCCATCATCTCCGAGGTAATCTCAGGTCACGGAGTCAGAAGGAAGAGTAATCAGCCGTTCTGAGTGTGGAAGACACAAAGAAACAAGCAGTGAGAATCAGATGGTTGTAGCAGGTTCGTTATAAGCAGGGTGTTGTGGCACTAATCTTTTCCCTGGCAGCCAAACCAGCTGGAGCAGCTCCAATCCCCAGCATCTCATCCTTGCCCCTGTTCTGCAGTTTGCCATCTCTTCAATCGTGCTAATGCAATTCATCACGGGGCCAGGCTGGAAACAGAACCAGTGCAGCGGTGCAAGGTTAAAAAAAAAAGCACCGTGCTCTGCACAGATAGTCATTATTTGGCCCAAGGAGGCAGCCTCGCTAACTCGATTAATTTATAAAGTTGCTTTCACTATAATCACATTGCCACCGCTGTGGTTCCTCACCAGCCCCAGCCCACCTCCAGGCTCCATGCCTCCCTATTTGGGGACATTTGTCACCAAGTTGGGTCACCCTGGTGATGCGTTTTACAGATCCTTGCTCAGCACAGCCAAGGAGCAGGGAGTAGCCTTCCAGGGCAGACCCAGACCCGTGGATGAGAGTGGGGAAGGCTCTGCAAAGGGAGAAAATGTCCACAGAACAGCTGTGACCTGCTGCAGCTGGCAGAATGAGTTCATCAGTCAGTGAAGTTCAGCCAAGTCTTACAGGGGCAGCAGAGAAGCCACTGGAGCCCCACTTGCACCACGTCTCCTGAACACCAGGGCTAGAGAGCAGGACCACACCAACAGCCACGGTTATTCCCAGGGTTCCTCCTGCACTGGCTCTGCCAGGAAAAGCCCAATGGGAGCATGGCTGGACCATCACAGCTGTGTCCCTCATGGTTTTCTCTTCCTACGTCTCCAGAAGTGTCTTTTACATTCACCGTATGCTTGTGTCTCCCAGAAACTGGCAGCTTTGCTCTAAAACCAGCTGCTCTAAAAGTAGCAGCCGTGCCAACACGGGTCCCATGCAGGGTGCATCCTCCAGGTTTGTCACCATCCTCCCAAGAGATGTTGCTGGAGGCAGTGACAGCTCTGCAGAGCCATGTCCTAGAGCCAGAAGGACCTTCCTGCCCTTAGCACTGCCCTAACTGGGCATGGCTCAGGGGGCCTTGAAAAGCAACAGGTACCATCCTAAAGCCCAAAATTTGTCTGATTTCCCACAGCTCCAAGAAGTCGGCACCATGCAACTTTCCTCCCTCAGTTTGGCCAGTCCAGACCCTCCTCTCCAGCTGTGCCCGTCCTGCTGGGGCTCCTCTGCCCCACTGCAGCTATCTGCTCTGCAAAGGACAGAGGGACACCGTGAACAGCAGCCTTAATGTGCTGAAGGCAGAGACGTTCCCACCTCTCACACTGGCGCAGCAGTTCCTGAGGCTGCTGAGGAGCTGCTCTCTGCTCAGACAGAGTCCCTTTCTCTGGCTCCAGCGCACAGCTGGCACATGGCACATCTCTGCCTGGCACTGAGGCTGCGCCAGCCCTTCGCTCCCATCGCACAGCAAAGCCCACGTACCCTCAGCTGGGCTCTGGCTGCGGGGAGATGAGCTGCTTCTCGCCGTTGGAGCAGCTTTGAAGGCTTTGCAAATCAGATTCCTGTTTGGAGCAGAAATCAGCCATGCTGAGGCTGGTATTTCCAGCTTAATTTGTCTGTTCACAGAGCAGATACACTGCTCTGTTTCCTTAAATAGACCTAGTATCAAATGACTTGTAAGCAACAAGCAAAGCTAATGGACCACTTCTCCCTTGCAAAAAGTGACTGATTTTCCCAGCTCTTGCCTTCCACTGCACCAGCATCCCCAAAGATTATCTGCCTTGACAAATCAGTGGCAGTGCAGCCTGGTCACAGCAGCCCCAGCTGCAGCTCACCCATGTCAGGCTTCTGTCTGCAGCCTGACCTTGTGTGCAGTCACCCACCCTGCTCCAAGCTTGCATACCCACCAAGCATCCTTGCCTGTCCACTCAGGAGCTGCAGCCTCACACAGGGCTGCTCTTTCCTCCCCACACTGCTCCTTCCTGCATTTCAGGATCAGGTCTGCTTTAAAATTGCATCCTGGGCACTTTATACCTTGGTGGGTTGGGAAATGGTGCTACAAACTCAATTAAGTGCCTGGTGGTTGCTCTCATGTTCCTTTTCTCCCTCCTGGCCCCATGTCTCACCACTGGGATTTCCATCAGCTTTGGCAAGCTGAGACAAAACCTCCTTGTCACAACCAGCTCTCCACTGCACTCAAGGAGCACCCTCTTGACTACTGAGGCACAAAAAAAGCCTTAGAAAGGTTTGTGTTGCCTTCTAGAGAATTTTGGCACCTGTTCATTAGCCAGGATCCCTCCATAATGTGGGGACCAGACACTCTCCAGGGCTTTGCTGTGAGCCACAGGGCTTGTAAGTCTAGCAGAGTGCTAAATCCCACACCCTGCCATGAACACAGATCTGGCGTGGGGAGAGCAAACAGCAATATCACCCAAAAACCAAAATGGTCCCAGAGCATGTGTCGTGGCGGAGAGTCGCCAAGATCCCCCCAGTTTAGGATCTATTTGAGATGCTCAGATCTGAACATGTCCCTGCATAGCTTCATCCTGGAGGATCCCCCAGCCCATGGCGGGATCACATCCAGCCAAGAGCAGAGCCATGCCAATCCCCCAGTGCTGAGCCACCTGGAACCCCCCGCCCGGGGAAGTGTGTCATGGCAGCAAGATGCATCACAGGAAAATAAGAGACATGGCAGGGTCTTGTCACCTCGTTGAATTAGGTGCCCTAGGCTATTTGCATTTCTAGAGGTTTGGTTGGTAAGGAGGTTCTCAGGCTTTGTATGTTGTTACTATTTTAGTATGTCTGGAACATGCAAGAAAAGGAATCTGGAGCCTCTGTCTCCTGCGGAGATGTTTGTGCTGACCCAGTTTGGGATGCTGCAGAGCCAAAGCCTCCAGACCTGTGCAACAACAGTCACCTGCTCCTGCTTTTGCCTGCAGGTACAGTGAGAGTGAGTCACCTGCCTTCAACCCAGACCAAGGCTGCATCCACCTATCGACATGGGGCGGGAACTGTTTCACCACCATGCATCAGCCAAGGGGACGTATCCGGCTGCTTTTACCCCTGAGATCCCCATCTGCCTCACTTAATGCTCTTTAAACACCCAGCACAGGGTGTTTCTCTTCTCCCAGAGCAGAGGGTCACCCACCAACGGTCCGAACCCAATCCCTGGGGGACGAGATTACTCCATCAGAGACTGCCACTGTCCCAGACAACTCCCAGACAACAAGCCCCAGCCCCAAAGCCAGGGAGATGGGAGGTGTTAACTACATCCACACAGGGCAGGCGTGCCCAACAGTGTGCCCTGCTCCACACACACATTTCTCATGCATGTGCAGCTCTTGGGCCAGGCTGAAGCTCTTCAGTGTGGGAAAAGTGCTGGTTCTGTCTTGCTAGGTATGAAAAACAGCAATCATCAAATGACCTTTCTGTGCTTTGAGGCTGTCTGTGGTGTCCAGACCAAAAGCTTGAGCCCATCTGAGTGCACAGAAGGGGCAAGTCTCTGCACTGCTACTCCCATGACCTCAGCCTTTTAATCAAGACCCAGAGATCACGGCCTGAAGCTCTTCTTCTGCTTTCAGTCCTGCCCTAGAGCTGAGCTCTGGGGGAAGGCCGTACGCAGGGTTGCACAGCCTCAGCTGTCCAAATACAGATGCTGGGAGGCGTCAGAAGCAGCCTGCTCACTGAAGTCTGCCTCCACTCAGGTCAGCGGATGCAAACACAGTATCTGCTTCCCTGAGCAGGGCAGGAAGCTGCAGACGCAGCAGTGCATGAGTACAAACTCGATTCTCACCTGGCAAAAAAACAGCCCCAGAGCAGCCTGGCTGGCCGAAGCATCACTGGAGCAAAGCCCCAGCCACAGGCAGAGCCCCGCAATGCTCTGGGTGGGGTTTTCAAGCTCCCGCATGGGTCTCTTACCTTGTTCTCTGTAGGAGCTGATGCCGGATGTTGCTGCTTGGTGATGTTCTCAGCCAGACACCAGCAGATCCTCTTCTTCTGCTCCTGGGAGTAAGCCTCCAAACTTAATAAGCACTCCGACTTCTGACGTAAAGGAAACACAGGCAGAGAGAAGGTCATTAGCTATGTGTCGCAGGGCCTGGCTTTGTTTGCAAACTATTTGCTTCCAACACACTGTATCAGATGAATGTAAGTATAATGGGAGAGCTCACACTAATGTCCTGTGCTCTGGGCACGAGAATGCAAAATAGATGGGAAATCAGCTTCACGGTGGCATCTCCTCAGAGAGAGGGTAGAAAGCTGCTGTGGTGCAGAGCAGCAGACCTCTGCTTTAATAAGCAGGAGCAGAGTGGTAAGGCACGGGCAGAGCACCAGCAATTCTGCACCCTCTGCCACCACAGTGGAATCGTGTCTATTAAGCTAATTTAGAGGGTGGAAATTGCTCCATGCTGTACACAAACAGTAATGAGGCGCCTTAGCATGAACTGATGAAAACAAGCGCCTTTGGGCCGGGTGGGGCTGGGAGGAAAGCAGACCTCAGGAGATGCTCCAGACCAGCCTCGCCTGTTCTGCTCCTTACTTAGAGCACACATCAGGGGTTGTTTTGAGGATGATACTCCAGCTCTGGTCACGTGAGCAACGTGCAGTGAGGAAGGAATTATTAGAAATTATGTGAATTCATCCCAGCTGAGCCCACCTCCCTCATGTTCTAGCCCCTTCCCTGCACACACCCTTTCTGATATGGACCGGATCCTCTTGGACAGTTTTCTTTGGGCCAAATCCCACTCATTTAAGAAACTTTCTGAACCAAGTTCTCTCAGCAAGTGTCTCCCAGCCCTTATATCACTCATATCTTGTGCTAAAAATTATGCATTAGTAACATTTGCTGCCCACTGGAATTTTGCAAGCTTTGCTTTTAAAAGGGTCCAGAAATTTCCATGGCTGGATCATCTCCTTCTGTGGCCAGATATGAAAAAAAAAAAAAAAAGAAGAAAAAAAAAAGCGCAGAACTTCAGTACAGAACTGCAAAGAAAGAGAAAAGAGTCTTCCACTAAAGGGGCATGAAAAAGGTCTTTCATTTCCCCCTAGGATTTCCTTCCAGAAGGGCAGGTCTCCAGTAGCCTGTTTTTCCCAGAAAGGTCAGAGAGAACTAAGGAACTTACAGCTTTGTGACTCCAAAGACACAACACAAGCAAAAGGGGAAATGCCTTTTAGTCACACCATTTAAAACACTGTTTTTATTGGATGCTAATTCGTTCACATTTAATCCAAAAGCCCTACTAAAGCAGTAAATAAAGCAACCTCCCATGTTACCTCAAGAAAAAGAGATCTCCTTTTCCCTCCAAGTCAGTCCTTTTTCCCTCCAAGGAGACTTCCAGGAAAAAGATTTGATCTTTCTCTGTCTGGACATCACCACATCTATTACTACAGCCGAAACACTCTTAAACACAGAAGATGCATGCTCAGGCTTACTGAGCACTATCTAAATGGAATAGAGAGGTTTGTGATTCAGGGACACAAGGTGGTGGGGCTGCCCCTTGCCCCCCAGCTCCTGAGCTGCAGTGGCCCAGAGCATCACAGTGCTCTTTCCCATTCCAGGTGTCTCAGTCTCTCTCAGTCCCAGGCTGTACCACTGTAATATCCACTTGTCCCTAGGAAGGTCCCTCATCATTCCTGCTTTCAGAGGAAATCCAGGCTGGCATTTCCCCGTCCCGCACTTGGGGCCTGAAGTGCATGGCAGTAAGGTCTTAGCAGAGCCTAAAAGACATCAGTACAGCTGCAAGGAGTCCAGTATCCACACTGATGCTGTAACTACTGCACACTCCTGTCCCTACTGAACTTCTACAATTTCCCCCTGTGTGAGACTTAAAGCAATTCCAAGGACATCTCATATCCCCTTGCTTGTAACGGATGCACAGCTCACCTACCCCTGCTCTGCAGCCCCATGATGATTCAATTACAGTCCCCATCTCTTTGATTGAATTTAGCATAAAGCTGTGCTCAGCCTGCACTGGCTGTTGAGAGCAAAGTGCCTCTCTCCCCCTGGTTCAGCCTCAGCCAGCCAGAGAGACTCCCTGGCCCCAATGGCCTCAGAACATTAGAGCTAGGAGAGGAGATTGCCCTCTGGCCAAAAGTCACAGTAAGTCAACTAGCCCAACGTGTGTCCTGGGCAAGGCTGAGGAGGAACATCAACAGCCAAAATTGCATTTATTCAATCTGCACATATTTTACTACCATTTCTGTGCTACAGCAGTGAGACCTCAGCACTTTATGCTTTCATAGTGATATTTAACCTCTCCAACACACATTTCCCGAGGGAAGAGCTCTGTTTCTCTCTCATCTATCAACCTGCTCCCCCCAGTAACGTTCTGCTGTGTTGGGGAGAGAGGCAGCCCAACCCACAGGGGCTGAGCACCTCCCAGCTGCCTCTAAAGCACAGGCTCCTGCTTGCAAAGTCCTTTGGGATCCAGCCAGACCGAAGGCAGACATGTGAAGGACTGATGGTTCCACAGGATAAAGCTCTACGGATGGCATGTGTTCCGGGAGCCCATCCCCTGCTCAGCCCAGCACTCCGGCATGCCGGGGAGGCTGGAGCAGGGAGGGTGGCTAACACCGGGGATGCACCGTGTCCTGCGCGCGCTGCCTCGCTCAGTGATTGCTCTGGGAACCGGCCTCCCCACTATTGTTTTCATTCAGGGAGGCTGCCGCTTTGCCTGCCAATATTTACAGAGAGAAAACAGGGTTTAATCTCACAGTGCTGGGAAAGTAGGATGCAGATGGCGCGAAGGGGGCGTTTGCGACTAGATAAAGCGAACGACTGAAGTGGCTGCCAGTTGCTTTCTGCCTGCCTTCACTCCAGTGTTCTGAAAAACATGTTATTGCAGGTGTTGCGTGCCGACTGACATGCGAGCCTCTGGTGAGCCCATGGCTCCGGGACAGTGCCAGACCCCACGCCAGCACAAAACCCAGTACCAGTGCTGCCCATAGGAGAGGAGGAGGAAAACACAGGGCATGTATCACAGAGGAGGACGCAGACTAGCCAACACAAGCCCCAAATGGGCCCCGCTACAGCCAGGGATTATCTGCAGGAAAATAGTCCTTTTGGTCCATGGGAAAAACTCACCCTTGCGGACGCTCCCCCAGGCTGAGACCCAGCCCCACTGCATCCAGGAGCACGGGGAGGGAACAGGCAAGGGGTCTGGCCATGCAGAGCTCCTGGGTACCCCAGCAGACACCAACCAAAGAGGGACTGTCAGCTCTGTAGCCCATAGATGAGCCAAGGACCTCACACAGAACGGCCCCACACCACAGGACAGGCCTCTAGACCCTACATAGCAAGGCCCTACACTGCAGACATGCACCTCTGTGCAGGACCCAGCACAACAGCAGCTGGTACAAAGTGTGGCTCTACATGACACTGCAAAGCTAAGATTAACAACAATGAGCCAGACTCAGTCTGACACCTCCAATGCCTTGAACTCGGTGACCAGCCTAGCCCTGGGGATGTGCTCATCTCAGGGCTGCCTCCCCCAGCTTTGCTAGCTGACCTGCTCCTAGGGGATGGTCCTTGGGTGGATGATCACCCCGCAGATAAGGGGGATGCACTTCTGCTCCTTTCCCCAGGCTCCTCACCTCTGCAGGGTTTATGGAAAAGTGGTTCAGGGACAGGGCTTGCAGCCCAGCTCAGCTCTGCCCAGCCCCCGGCCTCGAACATTCAGAGCATTGGTCCGTGGCCAAACCCAGCAGAGATCCCAGAGGGGAAGTTCCTCGGAAACGGGCTCCAGACTACAATAGCTTTTAAATCGCAGTGCAAGCCTTCCACCAGTGAAACAGCAAGCCCTGGGAATATCCTGTGCACAAAACATGGGCAACTGCTGGCTGGTTATTTCAAGACGCACAGAGCTAGGTCTGATAAGAAAGTTCAGTGTGCTCCTGTGCTAAACTGTGCTGGGGGGTGCAAGGGACCATGTTTCTTCCTGTGGTTTTTGAACTGCTGGGCACACTGGAGTTGCCCAAAACACAAACACTGGCAGTAACAGCCGGGGCCCTATTGAAAGCTGGGGTGACCAAAAGGTGACAGGATCTCACAGGTGCCTGAGCCAATGATGTGCATGGAGCTGCTGTTTGCAGGGCACAGCAATCTCGGCAGAGAAGCATGGCTCACCGCTCTGTGGCTTGGTTTTGGGCCAGGGACACTCTATAGGTGAGGGTGAATGATAGACATCCCCATCCTTCCTCTTGACACCAAGGGCTGGCTCTTAGGAAATCAGTTTTCATTGTCCTACAGACACCCATGGATCTGGAGAGGCACCGAGATAGCAAAGTGGTCCTGCTACATCATGGTGTAGAGCCACCAGCAGTTCCAACTCACTCCAGGACAGACAGACCCTGTTGCACTTAGATGCTGCTGTTAAGGAGGGGGAAGATGGAGAAGTAATGCCACGGGAGCACTGTTTCATGGCACACCCTGGAGGATGCTAAACCTCCAGGAGAAAAAGCCAGCCTGAATAACCTTTCCCACCCATTTTGGAGCAGCCAACAAGGACACGGGGCTTGGCCTGTTTACAGGCCAGCGGGTTGTTCTTAAGTGGCTCATCAGATAACAGCCTTCACAGGAATCCCCAAGCCCTGAGACTAGCCAGGCGTGGAGCTCCCACTGCAAACATCACTCTCAAAAACAGAGAGCAGGTCTACCACCTTCCCACACTGCAAACAGGCTTTCCTCTCAGGCAAAAGGGCTCAGAGCTGAGCAGCCCCAGCAGCAGTAACACTAATCTTACCCACCCACTGGAAGCAGCCCCAGAGCTGTCCCTGCCTCTTCCCCCAGCACACCCCCAAAGAGAGCAAGCTCCAGCCTGTGCAGCCAGCCCCGGGGAACAGAAGTTCCCCTCCAAAATCACCCTCTGGTGCCTGGGCCTTTGAAAAATCTCTCTAGTACTGTAAACCCCATCATATCAGCTTTATTTTTGCCAACGTCTAGGAAATGTGACCACAGAATTAAAGTGGGGGAAAAAAAAATAAGAACTTCTGCGAAGCACATTTTGTGGTCAACTCAAAACTCAGATTCAAGTTGAACTGTGTAA